ACAATAGCGAACACACAGAGACGGCAGGATCAATGGACAGCAGGTCCAACATACAACTCACGCAACGGACAATTTATGTAAAGTCAAATCGAGTAGTAAAACATGAACACTTCAGTGAAACAGAAACAAAGAAGCTCCAGTAAAACTGAAGCGGAAATCAACGAGGGATAATGTTGTGCGCTTGCGTCGTCTTTTGGAAAGCGCAACCTTGCTTTAACGAATATGTTGCAGCTCTGTCGCCGTCTCCCTTAGTCCTGAGAACTCGTCTCCTTCTCCGTGATGGAAGAGATTTCTGAGATTCAAAAACGGATTCTACTTCCTGAAGAGTAGAAGCTCTTTCCTTCTCTTCTCTTCCTTTTATTGTTCTTATGATTTTTCTGCCTATTCTCGTCGATTTCAGAATGGCTCCGACTGTTTCTCCTTTTTCGTAATCAGCAAAACCGTATAAAAACAAAATGAAACTATGCAAACCGATAGGAAAACGACCAATACTCACGCTTATGATGACATTCAAAACTCCGTGGAATATACAGTTAGGCTAGATGCTGTCGTCAGATTTTGTACACGTTTTATTAACGGGTTCGTCTTTCCCGTTCATTTAACTGCTCTCTCTGCCATTCGTACATTCAAGAGTGAAGCTGGTTTCTGTGTTCATGACCCACAGTGAAGGTGCAACTGTCGTCGATTAGATGGCCGAGTGGTCCAAGGCGGTGCGTTAACGCCGCAGTATACTCCGGTAGGCTGGGTTGGAATCCCGCTGCAGTCAAACTGACACTACTTTTTGTTCATAACCACTGCAGTCTTCCACCTAAGGATGCTGTTTCTCCCTTTCAAACTAACTGTAAGTTAGCTGCATTCCATTTTTTCGCTGACCTTTACCACTGCAAGGACTTGGTCATTTGTGACACGCACAAGCGAGTGTAACGCACGTTACTCAGGCGATGTTAACCGGATCCAACAACAAGTTTGCTTGGAATCTTGGATGTATGTCCAGTGGGTTCTGAAAGCCACTGAAGGAAATTATTTTTTGCTAAAAGCAGTGATTTCAGAGAGATGACTCTTATGTGATCACCAATGCGTCAGTCATATACAATTACGTATTCGTCGCTTTCTCCTTGTGTTTATAAAACAACCTTCTAGCCGTTGAGACCATAAGATCTTGAAAGACAACCTTTCGGTAAATCAGAAACCACTCCTGCATGTCTGAGCAATTGGTTATGAAAACAAATAGAACTCAAGAATTGAAGTTTAACTGATTCATACGAATATGTCAATGCCCTATGAACTAAACGCACAAGAGTTACTTCAGTCTCCATGCATTCTTATAATGAGCACACCGCATTTTGTAAATTTATAGCATCTTTGTGAAAGGATAGCCCATCTACTTCTCACATAGAGACGTGAACTTTCCGCGTTAGAGAACAGTACCTCAAAATGACATATTATCTGTTCTCATCTCAATTTGTTCGAACAAAAACTGGATGTGATAACTGTGATTTCCCCATTAAGCCTGGCCGGATAGCTCAGCCGGTTAGAGCGTGGTGCTAATAACGCTAAGGTCGTGGGTTCGACCCCCACTCTGGCCAGTTAAATTCGCAATACAAAGCAACTCTATCAGAAATAATTGTGAGGGCCAAAGCAATATAGATTGTTTATAGCAGCTGTGTTTCTTTGAATGCAAGCCAATGTTACACCAATCACACTTTCTAAAAACATTTCTTCGTAAGGTCGACCCCTTAAGCGCGTGTTAAGCAACTGTTAATGAGGATATTAAAAAATAATATTTTAGTTTCACTCGAACCAGTAATACGCTACGCCGTCATTAATCACTCGACTCAGACAAAAGATGAGATATTCTGAATGTGGCATGTCGAGATACCGATAAACCCAAGCAACATGTCAACCTTGCTCAGTATGGCCTTTTTCCGTGACCCTGTGTGTAGAAAGGAAATAAAATATTGATCAAAGTGAACTAAACGACGTCTGCGGTTGGGTGAACGTTATATTCGCTACCATCTCTGTGAGCAACTTCAGGATAAGTTACAGTTCCGTTCCCATGTTATCGATTCTTCAACTTGTATTCATATACGTCAACTCAACATCACCAGTACATGCAACAGTGAATGCTAAAACTAAAAAATTTAAGTTTTAAGGTTATGTCAGCACGTACACAACTCTTTATATTCAAATACCTATGCATAAAGTCTGTTACTGGCCAGAGTGGGGGTCGTACGCACGACCTTAGCGTTATTAGCACCACGCCCTAATCGACTGAGCTATCCGGCCGTTGTGGAAGTACCTGACTGCCTTTGGAGACCAGTTAAGATTCTCTTTGATAATTGTTAATGCATGGAATCGCTGGATCGTGTAGCATAATTCGATAAACAAAAGAAGGTATATTCATCTGCCTTTGCTGCGCGTAAAGACAAAGACCAACCTAACACTAACTAAAGGATAACTGTTTTCTTCTGGTCGCTGTTGTATTACGATGCTCCAAAGAACGAGGAGCGTTATATCATATCTAGGTTCTCGAAATGTTTTCCCACATCGCAGAAGGATGACCGGTCAGATTACTGCTTATTACACAAAGCTACACTTGTTTATATCGCTTCCTTAAACCGAGAATCACCTGTTTCGACGCTCTAACGAGCACCTGCCATCACCTACTGACTGGATGGCCGAGTGGTCCAAGGCGCTGCGTTAAGGCCGCAGTCTACTCCGGTGGGCGTGGGTTCGAATCCCACTCCAGTCAAAGTAACATTACCTTTTGTTCAAAATCACTGCAGTGCTTGATCTAAGTATATTATTTCTCCCTTTAAGGCGAACTGCAAGTTACCTGCATTCAATAATTTCGTTGGGCCTTACACTACAGCGAGTTGCTCGTTTGTGCGACACGCAGACGCGAGTGAAACACACGTTACTGAGGACATGTTCGCCAGATCCAACAAGGAGTTTACTTCGAATCGTGGACATATGTCCACGTGGGTTCCAAAAGCTATTGAGGAAAATTATGTTTGCCTAAAAGCACTGTTTTCAGAAAGGTGATTCTTATGTGGCCACCAATGCACTAGTCACAAAGAGTTACGTATATTTATCGTTTCCAATTTCGTGTTTATAAAAGAACTTCCTAGTCGTTCAGACCATAAGGTCTTGAAAAACAAACTTCCGTTAAGTCGGAAATAGTTCCTGCGTCGCTCAACAGTTAGCTATGAAAACGCACAGAACTCAAGAATTGAAACTAACTGGTTCGCATCAATATGCCAACGCCCTATGAACTAAACGCACAAAAGTTAGTACCATCTCCATACATTCTTATGATGAATATACCGCACTGGAACTTTATACTATCTTTCTCAAATGACAGCCCATCTACTTCTCACATAGAGACCTTAGCTTTCCGCGTTAGGGAACAGTCTCACAAAATGACATATCGTCTGTCCCCGTTTCAATTCCATCCAACAGAAAGTTGCCAACAAACAGGACCTCACCGTTAAACATGGCCGGGTAGCTCAGTCGGTTAGAGCGTGGTGCTAATAACGCTAAGGTCGTGGGTTCGA